TTGTGGTCATAAGTCGAGGATGATCAGTTCCTTCCCAGATGAGCCCTCTACGATTCTAAGCAGCTGAAGATAAAATACTTTTAGAGCAGGGGGCAGCTTTAAGACTTATGTAGACTTCAACTCCCAGAATTCCTCAACTATCCATGCTGGCTGAGGAACTTTGGGAATTGAAGTCCAGAAGTCTTAAAGCTGCCCCCTGCTCTAAAAGTATTTTATCTTCAGCTGCTTAGAATCGTAGAGGGCTCATCTGGGAAGGAACTGATCATCCTCGACTTATGACCACAATTGAGCCCAAAATTTATGTTGCTAAGGAAAACATTAGTCAAGTGAATTTTGCCCCATTTTACCACCTTTCTTGGCACAGTTGTTAAGTGAATCACTGCAGTTGATAAGTCAGTAACACGGTTGTTAAGTGAATCTGGCTTCCCCATTGACTTTGCTGGTTAAAAGGTTGCAAAAGGGGATCACGTGATCTTTGAACACTGCTACCATCATAAATATGAACCAGGTGCCAAGCATCTGAATTTTGATCCCGTGACCATGGGGATGCTCCAGTGGTCGCAAGTGTGAAAAATGATCATAAGTCATTTTTTTGAGTAACTTTGAATGGTCATTAAATGAACTGTCATAAGTCGAGGACTATCTGTAGTCCACCACTGTTTTTCCTTGAAGACGTTTCGCTTCTCCTCCAAGAAGCTTCAGTTCTGAAACTGAACTGAGAACTGAAGAAGCTTCTTGAAGGAGAAGTGAAACGTCTTCAAGAAAAAACTGGCTTTGGAAAAAACACCTTTGGGACAGCCGTGACCTGGATGTCTGAGAATCTCCATAGATGTAATGGAGGAATTTCCGCTGGGGATTAGTCCACCTGTCACTGCTTTTCATCTTCCTATGCCTCAGTTTACATTAGGTCAATGGCAACCTAGAATAAATGTTCTACAAGGTGGGAAATCCTTCAAGAAGCTAAAACTCCTCTCTTAAACCTTAACGATAACTGTAAATAAAGGTGCAATATGGCCCTCATCAACTTGTAACCTCTGCTCTTGTCTCTCCCACAGTCCTGTGGTGTGGATTTTGAGGTGAAGGCGTTTTGTGCTCAAGACCCAGAAGAGAAAATTCATAAGAAGTAAAGCCAGCCATTTTTAACCTTTGTTTACTACAGGGGTGTCCAAACTTGGGAACTTTTAAGACTTGTGGACTTCAGCTCCCACAATTCCCCAGCCAGGCTGGCTGGGGAATTCTGAGAGTTGAAGTCCACAAGTGTTAAAGGTCCCAAGTTTGGACACCCCTGATTTACTGTATGTCATTCGTGAAACAGTTCCAGACCAAAAGATATTACCGTGTATTCAAACTTGCTTTATCTGGTATCGTAGCCTGTTAAATATTTGTGTCCCCTTTCATTCTGATCAGGATGCAAATCCTTCTCAACTCTAGGGGCAGGCCTTTGGTTAGCTAGAGTAGATTCGAAATATGTAAATTATAAATTATAATAAACATTCTAAACATTCTAAACATATGTGTGTGTGTGTGGGTGGGGGCATAATAGTTCCCAGTTGGCCTCCAATTGTTTGGGTCTTTGGGGTCCTGAATGACACGCATGTGGGCTCTCTTCAGAATGGGGATGCTTGTCCTTCTTGCTTTTGGAGGACGAAAAACATGGGTACTATTCAGGTGAGCTGGATGGGCGAATGAACTCGGTTTAGCTCTTGACATCCAGATACTCCTTGAGGATGGCTAACTAGCGGCCAGAGTCCAGACATGGGATGCCACCTCTTTATTGGGTTTTGGGCTCCGGGCTTCAAGTTAACATTGCAGTCCCATGCTTGGTATGGGGGAGGGGGCATTGTAGCTGCCTCTTCTTCCCTCCAAATATCTGCAAAGTCTATCTATTTTGCTGACCCACCATCACACCTGAAAGTATCCCTCCCTCCCTCCAGTTTTAGCTTCACAGGTTTAACTTTGATTGGTTTTTTTCCAATCAATCAGAGCCTTTGTGGGACAGGATTTTTCCCTCACGGTTATTTTCTACTATAGTTTACAAATTCAGCAAAGCTCAAAGAATAATTTACACGGATTCCCTCTCCTGCTCCCTATGGTGGCTCTGGAGGGCTCAGCCCTTTTTCCTCTGCTTCCAGGAACTCCGTGCGGCTGGTGATCCGGAAGGTGCAGTTTGCCCCTGCTCTCACGGGCCTCTCACCCAAAACTCAAATAACCAAGCAGTTCATGATGTCAGACAAGCCTCTAAACCTCGAGGCGTCCATGAACAAGGAGGTCAGTGTTGCTGCCATCTCTTCTCCGTCGATGCTGCGCTGAAGGTCTCTGTCCTCGGAAGGGGGCAACTCACCAGGGCCAGCTCACCTATCTGGAACAGTTCAATTTTATTATTTGAAATATTTTTAAAACTATTTTAATTGTTGTTATTCGCATTTCATTTTGTCCCTCCTTTGGCATCCTGTGTTTAATGATTCTATCCTACCATTTCTTTGATCTTAGTGTAATTCTTATTCTGTGGCAGATTGTCCCACAGCAAGTTGGCCATGGCGAATTGTCCTAGATGCTTTCAGACAGGTTCAGAGTCTCTCCTTCAAGCTCTGTTTGGTCATCCCAACTCTTGCGGGAACCCTGGCTCTTGGCTCCTGCTTCATTGAAATGGCAGGGCCTCCCGGAGGATCTGCATTTTTCACATATGCTACTTTGTCATCAACTTTTTCTGATTTTACCACGTTTGTCTTCCTAAGCCTGGACTTCTTCTAATCATAGATTGATAGGTTTGTAGTGTAGCATCAAAAGATTAGAAGGGAAAAAGGGCAGAGCAGTTTGCCCAATGGTGCTCCACTCCACGATGACAGGATGCTTTTTTTAAAATCTGATTTTAGTAAACTATTGTGATTTCAGATTTATTACCATGGGGACCCAATTGAAGTGAATGTGGACATCAACAATACCACCAGCAAGATTGTGAAGAAAATAAAAATATCAGGTAAGGGACAAATTAAACAAGCCATGGGAGCAGCCCAATTGGGCCCTCCAGCCATCTTCGCCTTTTAACCATTTGCATCATCTAGTAATTCTTCATCTGAGTTGGTCACCAGATGGAGGTTGCCTTATGATGATGAATGACTTTAAAAGTCATGCCTTGAGATGGTGTATTCAAACATATTCAGGCAGTCATAATTTAGACAACACGATCAGGTCACTTCCTGATCCATTTCTGTTTAACTGCTATCTTGGTTGGATACTTTAGGATGGTTGGATACTTTAGGATGGTTCACCAGCTCTACAAGGTGGGCCTTGGTGGGCATCCTAGGAAGCATCACGGTAGATCAACAGAATTTAACGTTCTTTAAAAATTCTCCCATTTATTTTAATATCTTTATAAACATTCTAAGATACAGCAGTTGTATCTTGTTCTAGGAGTCTAGGTTATTAACTTTTATCCGTAACTTGAAATCATACACTTTATTTTTCCTCTCAAAAATCTTGGCCTTTGGTTTTTTTAGATCTGCTCTTTTGATTGCAGCATCATTCAATCTAGCATTTATCGCCAGTTATCGGGTTCTTCATCATCAACACAATTGTTTGATTACAAAAGTACAAATATGTTCATTTCATAGGGCTGGAAAGGACCTCAACGTTTTCTAGTCCTCAAGGACTAGATTGTCTAGTCCTCAAGGTCTAGATTGTCTAGTCCTCAAGGACTAGACCTAATTGTCCAGTCTATTCTGAAAACCCCCAGTGATGACGGTTTCCCCAATTTACACATCTCTACCATCATCACAAAGTCTATAAATGCACTAAACCATGGGGTCCCCAACCTCTGGTCGTGGACTAGCCATCAATCCATGGCATGTCAGAAACCAGGCTGTGCAAACAAGCGAAGCCCCATCCAGGGGATGCAGGCAGCACGTAAAACCACATCCCTTCCAGGCCATGGAAAAACCTCTCCATGGAACCAGTCCCTAGTGTCCAAAAGGTTGGGGGCCGCTGCACTAGAAAACCAAAAAGACATTGTATATCATTGCTTATTTCCCTGCTCATCTTATATCACATATTGAACAGTGCATGTATTCCAAAACACACAACTTCCATCATGCATTGTGCCTTACAACCCTAATGCCTAATCCCTAATCCCATTTTCACATTAGTGTGAACTATTTCATAACTTGAGCTCAAGCAGTTTATTACACAAAGTTCAGAACATGTGAATGTGGTTCTGGAAAAAGTATCTGTAGATAATTCACTAATCTTTGTAATCTTTCACCAAAAACCACCATGAGATGTTTTTATTTGCCAGGTACATGCATTGTAAGCTCACGCTTAAAGCACATATTCAAAACAGATATTTAGATATTTTTCTAAGCAGATATTCACCATTCAAACACCCTTCTCATTCATTGTTGGTTGTAATGGCTCCTCTCCTAACTTGAGAAAGTAAAGACTCTTGGAAACAGATTATTTCAAAAGGAAACTTTAATCAGTCAGGATGGAAACTATTAGAAGCAAAGCATCATCTGAAAACCTTTAGGCCATGCAAATGGGATTAAGCTGATAATGACCCCTCCCCTTTGTCCGAATGCAGATTCTGACCAATACACAAGTGTGAAGATGCTTCCTTAACTCTTCTGCCCTGGGAGTCAATAAAGCACATGTTCTCATGGCTATCTCTAGTTAGACATCAAAGTTATATATCCCACATGGCTACCATAAACATCCCTCCAGAGATGTTGGGACCTTCAGTCTCCCGGTGACAGGAAACCAGTTGTAAAGTTGTAAAACTCAGTGCTTTCAGATATAGCTAATAATTTAACTCCGAGGCTCCCCTCCTCCCAATTGAATGGCAGTATCACTTTTAGGGAACTGACAGTTGGTTATCTGAATGGCCATATCAGTTTTTTTGAACCATGATTCACTCTCGCATCCCACCAACTTACGGTACACGTAGTGTACTAACAGTAGAAGAGTTGAAAGGAATCTTGGAGGCCTTGTTAGTCCAACCTTCTCTTCAAATTGACACTCAAAATATGTGGGTGCTCCATTACTGGAGGCCTTTAAGAAGTGATTGGACAGTCATTTGTCCAGAATGGTATAGGATCTTCTGCCTGAGCAGCGGGTTGGACTAGAAGACCTCCAAGGTCCGTTCCAATTCTGTTATTCTGAAATGTAAAACTATCAAGGACATAGTTCACCTGAATGGCTTGATAAATTTGTAATAGCTGCATAAAATCCCCCATTCTCTACAGTCTTAGAGGATTACCACTGAGAATAGAATAGGAGTAGAGTGGAATAGAATAGAATTTTTTTATTGACCAAGTGTGATTGGACACACAAGGAATTTGTCTTTAGTTAATATGATCTCAGTGTACATAAAGGGAAAAAAAAGCAGTCATCAAGAATCATAATATACAACACTTAACGATAGTCATAGGATACTAAATAAGCAATCAAATCATACTAAGAAACAAACAAAACAATATAAATTGTAGAGATACAAGCAACATAGATAAGTAGAAGGAGATAGGTAATAGGAAGGATGAGAAGAATAGCAATACAGTCTTAGTAAGTAATTATTTGATAGTGTTGTGGGAATTGATTTTTAAGCAGAGTGATGGCATTTGGGGGAAAAACTGTCTTTGTGTCCTGTTGTTTTGGTGTGCAGAGCCCCATAGCGTCATTTTGCGGGTAGAGGTTGGAACCATTTTATGTCCAGGATGTGAGGGGTCTGTAGCTACTGTGTCTCCTTCTTTCTCTCCAGTTGAACAGCTCACAGATGTGGTTCTCTATTCCCTGGATAACTATACGAAGACGGTCTGCTCAGAGGAATTTGTGTAAGTGGCTGGTCTTTGGGAGGCGGGAGTGGAGGAGGAGAAAAAGGTGGTGGTCCAGGCTCGCTGGAATGTTCTCTTGGGCCTTGGCTAAAGACAGCAGTTCTTTATGCATCCCTGATGGTCTCCTGCTTTGCTCCAAAACAGACTATATATGTCTTTGATTCACACTTGGTTTTTTAAAGTCAGTTTTGAAAATGGAGTCTTTATGGTTGTATGTCGTATGGAGACATGAGAGCCCTTGAGAAGGGAAAAGATCACTCCTGAACTGAGGAGGGGGGAATGCATCCCCCCCCTGAAAACAATGGAGGAAATGGCTGTTTAGGTGATCTGCTCCTTCAGAAGCCAAAGTCCAGGATCATGAAATTCCTCCATTTGGATGAATTGGGGATAATTCCAGTGAATTCAGGGAAGGAGAGATCCCTGCTGCCTCAAGCCATGAAATTGGCTCTTTTGATGCATCAGAGGGATCCCGTCCCTCTTGCCTTTTCCAGTGCATGCAGACACAGTAAAGCCCCTCCTTTGCATGCACTAGGTGCCCACAGAATGGGAGCGCAGGCGTGTAAGTCGCCTGTTCCTTGATTAAAGTCTATTCCTCTTCTGGGGGAAAATGATTTCTCCCCCACCCCTCGGTTGCAAGCTGGAGTTTTTGCAGGCATCAGCAGAGCCCAGCAGCTTCTCGTCCACTGATCTTGTCTCCCCTTCCCCATAGGGAGAATGTGGCTGCCAACTCCACTTTCTCCAAAACGTTTGCGGTGACTCCCATGTTGAGCAAGAATCGTGAGAAGCGTGGTTTGGCTCTGGATGGCATGCTGAAGCATGAGGACACCAACCTGGCTTCCACCACCATGTAAGAGGAAGCCCCTTCTCCTCCCTCCCTCTGGCTGTTGCTCAGCAGCTCTTCCAAGGTCTCCCCTTCTTCTTTCTTAGCTTGAGGCCTGGGATGGACAAGGAGGTTCTGGGCATTCTGGTTTCCTACAAAGTGAAAGTCACCTTGGTGGTATCGAGAGGAGGGTGAGTCTTTTCCCCAGAAGAGTATGAAAAAATCCCCTTTGGATTCTGGACCCCTGCCTCTACCCCCCGCCCCACACTTTCCCCTGGGGAACTCGGCCCCACTTGACCTTGGGGGCTGTCTAGCCATGGGTGGAGTGAGTTTCCCTGGCCTTGAAGGGCAATCTGCTCAGAGAGCCTTCGCTCACTGTCCGGGCTTCCTTTGCCCTCTTCCTGGCAGGTGCTTGCCTGGCATTTTGATTCTCTTTCATCCATATGAACTCCATATGTCCTCCACTTGCAACAGTTCATTCAGTGACCATTTGAAGTTACAACAGCACTGAAAAAAGGGACTCATGCCCATTTTTCATACTTACGATGGTTGCTGCGTCCCCACGGCTCAATGGCCAAAATCCAGATGCTTGTCAACTGCGTGATAGTTATGACGGTTGCAGCCTTCCGGGATCCCCTTTTGCAACCTCCTGGAGAGCAAACTTAACAGGAAAGCCAGAGTCACTTAACAACACCAGTGATTCACTTAACAACTATGGCAAGACAAGTGGTCAAATGGGGCAAACCTCACTTAACATCTGTCTTGGTTACTGAGAGAAATTTTAGGCCCCGTTGTGGTTGTAAGTCGAGGACTTCTTGTACACATAAGGGCAGCCTTGGGTTTTAAGCCTTATCATGACTGATCTTTACTAAGAATGTGATATATGACGTTGGATGAAAGGAGAAAAAGTTGTGGGAAACCGTCTGAAATAACTCCAGAGGCTCTTCCGAGTCCATTTGCTAAAGATTAGCTGACCCGAATTCAAATATTCACCTGCTGCAAAGAGCTGCAAAGCTCTTCCAGAATTGGGTGACGGCAATCTTCTTGCTTTAATAGCCCATTGTTTTTGAGGTCTCCATCAATTCGATACCCAGCTTCCTTTGATTGCTCTTGAACAAATGAGGCTGGGTCAGCCTTTCTTAGGACTTGGGTGGGAGACCCACAGGACGTCCCAGGGGGGCAGACTAGATTGGGAAAATTCCCTGAAAAAGAGAGAGGTGAATTGGTTTACATGCTAACCCATCACCCAAAGCAGGTCAGGAAGGGACCAAGCAAACACAGTTCCACCACAAATCCGCGAAGCCCTTATCCGCGGAGACATAAGCGCGAAGACTAATTTGCGCCGTTCGAAGCGCTAAGGAAAAATGTGACCCTGAACTGGTAGAATCCACCCCTGAGCATTAGGGATGTTCACTGCCTTTGAGTGGTTTATAAGAATAATACAGACAGAAAAATAAATTAAATAAATAAATTAAATTAATTAAATAAATTAATTAAAATAAATGAAATTAAATTAATTAAATAAATTAATTAAAATAAATGAAATTAAATTAATTAAATAAATTAATTGAAATAAATGAAATGAAATAAATAAATGAAATGAAATAAATAAATGAAATGAAATAAATAAATGAAATGAAATAATATAAATGAAATGAAATAACTGAAATGAAATAAATGAAATACATCAAAATATAAACAAAACATTTCTCCTTTCATCTATGTGGAGTGCTCTTTGTATGTTCCATACTGAGCCTTCCTTCTTTCCACAGCATCCTGGGAGATCTCACATCAAGGTAAGGACAGATGTATTGATGACTCAATCAGATGATTCCCAGTTCTTTGGAAAGAGGCCTGGCTTAAGCTTTACGGACTGGGCTCTTGAGGGAGGAATGCCAGTAAGCTGGCTTTCAGGGGAGTCCCTAGGATTAGAGATGGTGCTTGTGTAGAAGAAGTGTGTGAACCATTTGGGCTGTGATTCCTGGTCAGAATGTACCAAAAGGCTGCCCTCCCCATTGGCAGGAAACGCCACCCGGGGCACAGAGGGAGTGAAGGCTGGGGACCCAGTAGTGACTTTGCTCTTCTTGAGCAAACCTGAAAGCCTTGGTTGACCAGAGCCAGGATGGCTGGGGTGTGTATGTCAGTCTCTGTGGGCCCACCTGCTGGCAACCACAGCCTGGGCAAAATGGCAACGCAGAAGAAGAGGAAATGTAGAGAGTATAAGGAAGCCCAGAATACAACCTACGTTGGGTCTATGAGAAAGGGGAAAGCTCAAAAAATATGAAACGGAGAGTGGTCTCATTTTGGGGAGTTGATGAAGACACAAATGGAAGGGAAAGTGGGCTTAAAGATGGTCACAAGCACTAAAAATACGCCAAAAACTCTTAGTGTCATTTGGGTGGCTTGGATGTGTATGGGAGGAGGCAAAGCACAGCTTCCAACGGCCCATTGGTGGCTCCAGTCAGTGGCCCATGGAGCTGTGCTTGAGTCCACAGCCTCTACGGAGTGGGGGCTGCAATGCCTGCTTCTCACCTGGTTCATTGCACCAAGAAGCCAATGGGAGAAGGGATCTGGCAGGTGGGGCTTAGGTGTCCCCAGTATCCTTGGTCAGGGGATCTCAGGCCAGGATCACCACCTGCTTGTATGATAGAAACGGGTTGGGTCTAGGTAGCCTGAGCACCCGAAGAAGGCCTGCGGAGTATCCTTTCTCACCCAGATTTCATTGGAGATGCAGGGACTTCCTCTCTCCCTCCCTCCCTCCCTCCCTTTCTTTCTCCCTATTCCACAGGGGTGGAGGGCAGCTTCGCTTCTTGTCATTGGAACTGCAGAAGCCATCTCTTCCCAACCTTTCTTAGGTTCCAGCTGATTGGTCAGATCAGGTTAACAGTTGGAAGGAAACGTATAAGTCATCTAGTCCAACCCCCACCCCCCACCCTGCTCAAGCAGGAGACCCTACACCATTTCTGGCAAATGGCAGTCCAACCTCTTCTTGAAAGTCTCAAGTGATGGAGCTCCCACGACTTCCAAGGGCAACATCTGTTCCATCAGTTGATTGTTCTCACTGTCAGAAAAGTTTTCCTTATTTCCAGGTTGAATCTCTCCTTGATCAGTTTCCATACATTATTTCTTTTCTGGCCTTTGGGTGCTTAGGAAAACAGCTTGATCCCCTCCTGAATTGGTTTTTCTTACCTAAGTGTAGGACTTTACTTTTCTCTACATTGAACTTCATTTTGTTAGATAGGGGTTTCCTCCAAGCATGTGTATTTCTGTTGTATATTTCATTGATTTTCTTTAAATCCATTATTGATTATTGGGTTTCTTTTTATGTTGTTGCTTGTGGTCATAAGATTAGTCAGTTAACAACCACTTCAATAAAACAAATGCACTTTAAAAACTTCAGTGAAGTTTGTATGAAAGAAAATCCTGTGTCTCCTTTGGATAAATGGATGTGGTTTCCTTTCCAGTGATGTCTCGGTTGAGATGCCGGTTATTCTGATGCATCCTAAGCCCCCCGAAAGTAAGTGTTGTCTAGGAAGCCCCTCGATCTTCAGACAAGGCGGTGTTGGGGAAATGGTCCAGTGCCCCAAAGTGGGATCAGCCACAGGCACCCTCTTTCAGTGCTGGGAGAAATCCAAGGGCCACTGATGGAGGGGAGGGTGGATGTGAAGGGCCTGTCTCCCCAAATGGCCCATAGCAGGCAGCAAATGTCTGAAGCAGAGATTCTCAACCTTAGAAGGTTTTTTTCATTGATGAAAATGAAAAGAAAATGAAATGGGGTCTTTCTCCAAGGTCAGCCCCCCAACCGCTCGACCCTTCCTCATCCAATGCACAGTGCCCCCTCCCGGTCAACACTCCCCCCCTGGAGTTATGATCATTTTGGTGCCACAGGACGGTACCTGACCCCCCCCCCCCATTTCAATGGCACAATTGATGCTTCCCACCTCAGCACCCAAAGATAAAAAAGAAAACCCCCTCCCATCAATCAACCCTTCCACAAACAACACACACACACACACACAGCCCTAGGGAGTGCATCTAAGTGCCTGAGCCCAATGCTGGGGAAGCCCCAGACCTTCCAAGCCTTGCAAAAGGCTCAATTTCTTGAGCATCAATCTCCTCCCCCACCCTCCCCCGACAAGAGCTGTGTCATGAGGGGCAAATCCCCTCAGTTGAAGGGCTGCACCAGGCTGAAGGGAGACTTGGGTTTTCAGGATTTGCAGAGCTGCAGGACCCCATTGGCCCCTGAAGACCCAAGTGGACCTGCCTGCTTGGCCTGTTTGTGTGTGTGTGTTGTACATGGCCAGCTAAGAGGTATAGGAGGTTTTGTTCAATAACTTTGTGGTGATTAATGTGACTAACTGGCATCTGCCTTTCTCTCTCATCCTCTGCCTCTTCCTGACTTACAGCAATATCCAGGTAAGAAACAAGGCTCCACACTAGAATTGGCAGCAGGTCGTTATGCATAATTCATTCTCCAAAATAAATTCAGCTCTGAGAAAACATAATTTTATGCAGTTTTACCCAACTTCCACTTCCATGAAAAGTTAATTAATTGGAAAGCTTTTGATATTGTCGTGTTTCACTAGAAGGAAAATGTGGGAATCTTGTACGTTTTTATCAGCTAGTCTTTAGACCAGAGTTTCTCAACCTTGGGAATTTGAAGATGGGTGAACTTGAATTCCCAGAATTCCCCATTGCTGGCTGGGGGATACTAGGTGTTGTAGTCCACCTGTCTGAAAGTTGCCAAGGTTGAGAAACACTCCTTTAGACAAACCCACCCCCCAAATCATGTTTATATATTCTTACACTTTGAATGAGTATCTGAAGCTGCGGAGTTTTGAACCAGTATCAATGTTGGTTTCCTCTCCCATCCCTTGTGGGGGGTCCCATGTGTTCTTCTGCCTGGTGGGTTGGCTTCTTGCGTTCAGCCCCCTCCCCCCTGCCCATCTGGAGAAGAGGTACCCCTAGCAGAACCCAAGGAGACCCTCCGACCCACATAACCATGAAGGAGGGGAGGGCTCCTCAGAGCTCTGAGAGCTGGGCCTTTCAGCTCTGCTTCCTTCCAGCCTCCTCAGAAACTATGGGGTTTGCCTCAGAACTGGGACTCTGGGCTGAGCCAATGGCTGAGCTGGTGGTGCATGGAACGGGGGGGGGGGGGGGGTACGATTCCCTTCTGTCCTGGAAAACCTTCCCTGGGCGGAAGAGCTGAGGAGGGAATGAGGGCTTGAACACAAGACTAGAGACCAATTCGATCATAGCTTGGACTCTCCTTTTGAAACCTGGCTTTTGTTTTCCTGGGATTTTCACCCATTATGTTATGGTTGAGGAATTCGCCCGCCAGAAACTGGGAGAAGGGGAAAGCGATGAGGAAGGAGGAAAAAGCTAAGGCTCCATTGTCTTCAGTAGGGGCTACTCAAGAGTTTCAAAGCCGAGATTTAGGGCATTTGCATGAGCTCCGTGCATTTTACCTTCATATTTCAGTATTGTGTTTGTAATGGGATAATTTCTCATGAGCCTAATTTCTTTGCTGTGTTTAATGCACTTTGCAAAAGACTCGCCGTCCTCCAAAATTTTTCCCCTAAGCCTGAAAGCATGAAGGAGACCGCCAGCCACGCGCAGACAGCTCCTGCAGCCCTTCATTTTGCCTGCCTCCTTCCCCCAAGCCCAGCCTTCCAACCGCTGGACCCTTCCTCATCCAATAAATAGCACACCCCCCCCAAATCGACTCCCCCCCCATGGATTCTGATCATTTTAGTGCAGTGAGAGCGGACCGGACAACCCTTTCCTAACAATTATTGGGAAAAGCTGGTTCTTCAGATATCCTGTGATTGTGTGAATAAATGTTATTCTATCAAAATGCTTTGCTGGACACATGTTTATGTTTAAATTCCGTTACTGATGACTGACTCATTACCTCTGCTGGAAGTTGGCTGCAAACCTCCCCTACTCTTCCTGTGAAGCAATCCTTTCTAAGGTTGCTTTTGAAATTCCCTCCTATCAGTTTGAGATTATGCCCCCCTCGCGTTCTTGAGTTTTTGCTTAATACTGAAAATGCTGCCTTCTAGCACCTTATTCTCACCCTTAGTATAATTAAAGGTTACAGTCATGTTCCCCTTTTCCTTTCTGTCCACCAGGCTGCACATATTCAGTCCTTCCACTCTCTCCTGACACGTTTTGTCCCTTAGACTTTGCACCATTTTTGTTCTGGACTCGCTCAATCTTATCCAGACCTTTTAAATTTTTATTTCAAAAAGATCCCTCTCACTCTGACAGCTGTTGAGCCAAGTCCCACCCATTCTGTGCCTATGCATTTGATTTTTCTTGTTTAATTGTAAAACCTTTCTTTTCTCACTGCTAAATTGCATTCTGTTGGATAGAGTCCAGTCTTCAAGACTGTCAAGGTCCTCCTGGGCCTTGAACCTATCTAGATCAAGAATGCAGTGAGGGAAGTTGGCACAAACCCCAGCAACACAGATTGTAACAAGGAAGTACCTCTTCTGTGAGCAGCATCTGGGCACAGGCTGAATCTGGGCAACCAGAAAGTCTACTGATCAGAGGAACCATGAAACTATTTTGGATGTCTCTAAAGAGGCTAAAAAAAACCCAGAATGTTTCTAAAATACATTTTATTACAGAAGATGAAAAATATTGGCAAGAATGTTTCCAAAGTATGAAAACAATAGTTTATTACAAAGACCAAAAAAAATCACAGTGCTCTCAGCCATGAGGAAAATGGAAAAGGGCATTGGTACTTACCTGATACACCTCTTCTAATAAGGTGAAGATAGCATTCATATATGGGCTGACACTGTCCATACTCTGATTGGACTGAATCTGATTACTAATTAATTAGTGAGCCTTCTAACCCCCTCCTGGCGTGGCTCTACCCAGTTTTCGACAAAGGAAATAAATACAGACTCATAGGTGTTATCCAACGATAACTTTAGTAAAGAATTCCAAATTGCACAGAAAGGTCATAGAATCCACAAACAAGATGTGACTCTACCCAATGGAAATGCTGCTAGAACTGTTGTACCAGCTGGACGTGGCTGGATGCTATCTCTACCTTATTAGAAGAGGTGTATTAACTAAGTACCAAAGACCTTTCTCAATAAGGGTGGAGATAGCATCCATGTATGGGACATACCCAAGCCTAACTGCTCTCACGGGTGGGATTCAGACTGTTCTACCTGGCGATCCTCTGCCCTGACTGCTTGCAAAGCCCTACAACCAAAGGCCGCATCTGCTGAAGCAAATTTATCTAATTTGTAGTGTCTAATAAAGGGCGAAGGAGAAGCCCACAATGCAGCCCTGCAGATCTCATCTAATGAGGCATGAGTAGCCCATGCAGTGGCGGAAGCAGCGCTCCTCGTGGAATGAGCAGTGATGCCCTTTGGAACCGCCACTCCTCGTGATTGATACGCCAACCCAATGCAATGCCTGATCCACTTGCCAATGCAAACCACAGAGGCCTTCTGACCAAGGGATGGTGCATGAAGGGAGGCAGAAAGTGTCTCTGTACGCCATAGTGTAGCCGTGCGCTCTATGTAGATTTTAAGTGCTTGGTGCTAAATTGTGCCACAGTGTCTCTGATGAGTTGGAGTGGGACAAAAGTCAGGTAACACTATCTCCTGGGCACCGTGAAACCAGGAACCCACTTTTGGCACAAAGGTAGGATCAAGGCGGAGGACAACCTGATCCTGGTAGAATTTACATAGGTCTCCCCAAACCGATAAAGCATGTATCTCAGAAATCTTTCTAGCGGAGGTATTCGCCACCAGAAAGACTACCTTCCAGGTAAGTATTTGCAGGGGGACCTTGTGTAGTGGTTCGAATGGTGGCTTGGTAAGAGCCTCTAGGGCCATGGTAAGATCCCAAGTTGGGTATCGGTGCACCACAGGGGGTCGCAGCCTTACTGCCCCCTCAGGAATCTCTTGACTGTGGGGTGCTGGAAAAGGGATTGTCCCCCCCCCAGATAAGTATGGTTCCCAAGGCCACCACCTGTCTAATGGTGTTGGCTTAGAGACCCCATTCCAACACATCCTGCAAGAATTCCAGCACCTGGGGAATAGAGGAGCTCTCTGGAATGATATGTTTGCCAGAACACCAATTACAGAATATTTTCCATGTGGCATTGTAGATGCGGGTCGTCAACGGCCTTCTGGAGGCCTATATTGTAGCAATGACCCTGTCCGAGTATTCGCTTCCTCTCAGAGCGAGCCACTCAAATACCAGGTGATCAACTGAAGCCAACGAGACTCTGGGTGTTCCTATCCGATGGGATTCTCCAGGGCCTCTTTAATGACAATGTCTGAAGGTTGGCGAACAATGGACGCCGTGGCCAGTACGGGGCTACCAGTATGATCTCTGCCCGGAGGCTGATGACCCTGCAGATCACCCTGGGGAGGAGGGGTGTAGGTGGAAAGGTGTAAAGCAGACCCCTCAGCCAGGGACTGCGAAGGGTGTCCATCCCCTTTGCTCCTGGCGCGTGGAACCCCATGTAGAACCTGGGGAGCTGAGTGTTGTAAGAGGTGGTAAACAGATCCAAGATCGGTGTTCCGAAGCGTCTTGTAATCTCCTGAAAAAGAGAAGGATGCAATCACCATTTGGCTTGGTCTACCTTGGTTCTACTCAGCTAGTCAGCTTTAACATTATCCACTCCCAATATATGTTCAGCTGTGAGGGAATAGAGCTTGGTTTCAGCCTAGGCTCCCAGTATACTGGCCTTTAACATGAGATCTTTAGATTTTGTACCATCCTGCCTATTCACGTGGGCTTTGGCCATGATATTATCTGTGAAGATCAGCATGTGTTGTTCAGAAATATGTTGTCGAAAGTCTAGCAGAGCCAATCTTGTTGCCCTGAGCTCTAACCAGTTAATGCTTTGGGTAGACTCTTACTGAGACCACTGTCCTTGGGTGATGTACGACCTCATGTGGGCCCCTCCAACCATACAGACTGTTGTCTGTGGTGATGTTGACCTTGTCACCCATCCTAAAGTGGCACCCCTTCAGTATTCCGGGGGCCCTCCACCACTTAAGCACCTGCCAGACATGTCTGGGCACAGCCACCCATACTAGGAAATTGTTGATTTTCCTCTTGTGGAAGGGGAGCAAAAACCATTGGAGGTCCCTAGTGTGGAGCTTAGCCCAGGGGACTATGGCAGTGGCTGACACCATTTTCCTCAACAGTTTAAAGAGACTGGCCAGGGTAGGCCTATGTTCCTTCCCTATGTCTGTCACCAACTATTTCAGGCTACTAGCATGCTCCTCAGACAGGAAGACCTGACCTTCCATCGAATCAATCCAGGCCCCCAGGTGTAGAATCCTAGTGGTGGGAGAGAAATAGATCTTAGTTTCATTGATGGAGAACCCATGTGTGCGTAGTGCATGTAACATGGTGAGGAGGTCTTCCCTGGCCTCTGAGGCCGACTGGACCAAGATGTCATCAAGATAAAGCTGGACTCTCACAGGTACAGTGCGCATATGGGCCGCCAGAGCAGCCATGACCTTAGTAAAGACTCTGGGCGCAGAAGAAAGGCCAAAAGGCAATGCCGTGTATTGGAAATGGCAAGAGTTATAACAAATCGTAAATATTGTCGATGTTCCTGCAGAATAGGTACATGCAAGTACGCTTCTGTAAGATTGATTGATGTAAGAAAATCACCTTCATGAATCCCCTCCAAAATAGAATGTAACAAATGCATTTTAAAACGTTTATACCTAATAAACCTGTTCAAATGCTTTAAATCAAGGATGGCCCTCAACCCCCCAGAGGCCTTGGGAATGACAAATAACAAGGAATAGAACCTCTGGCGAATCTGGTCAGCAGGGACCTCCTGTATGGCCTCTATGTCTAGGACCTGCTGGATCGCTAAACTCATCAACAACCACCTCTGGGGATTACTAGAAGTTGGGCACTGGAGGAATGAACTAGGGGGGTGGGAGATGAATTCCAAGGTCAGACCAAACCTGACCGTGGCTCTAATCCATGCATCGGAGGTTGTTGTCTCCCACTGGTCTGCGAAATGGGGGTTCGATCCTAGGGCAGATTAAGATTTGCTGTAGTATGTCCTCTTCCGGTGGCACCATGCTGCTACATTCTAGTCTATTTTGTTACTAGGAATATAAGGAACCTGATATTACAAGCGTCCTATAAAACCAAGTTGCAGATTGCAGGTCAGGAGGTGATAGTTTTGAAGGAAATTCCACCAAAAATGTTGAAATCTAGGAAAGACTATGTATTCCTAGTGGATGAACTTAAAAANAGCCTTCTCCAGCCAACCAGCAGTTTCCAAACCATGGTGGGGAATCTTTTAAGAAGTGGCTGTGCTCCCCATGGGAGCTTCTTGGGAAGAGCTCAGGCTCACAAAAGAATTCATTTCTGGGCGCTCATAATCCCAAAAGCTTCCATCTGTTTTCCAGGCCATTTCCAGGCTGTTTTTTGAGCTGTATTTGGGTGATTTTTAGGAAGTTTCTGGGGTCTTTTGGGGCCATTTTTCAGGCCATTTACAAGCTGGTTTTTTGGCTCTTTTTGGC